CAATACAATCCCATCCTTTATACATCCCAGGCCTTGTTACTGTTTATAACTGTGGTTTTTAGCCTTGTTCTTGGTTTCATCTATGCCTCAACATATCTGACTTAATGAGCTAGGTAAGAAGTGTTGGGACCAGTGATGTAATTAGAATCTTAAAAAAACAAAACAAAAAAAGGTACACTCATATGCAAAAGCTTGCGTGCCCCTGGTCAAACAATATGTTTTGCTGAAGTGAAAATAAGTAAAACACATAGTGCACAGAGAACAAACTTCTGCATATTTTAATGTACAATTACTGTTTATTTGCTTATTTTATTATATTGGAGGGAAAATAAAAAATAAAATGTGGCCGGTGCAAAAGCACATTTTATATTTTTATATTTTTCCCCCCAACATCATTAACTCAGCAAATAAACAAAAACTGTGCACTAAAATTAGCAGAAAAATGCCATATTCAAGTTATACGCCAAGAAAACATGTAATTTGACAGGGAGTGTTCAAACTTTTGCATACAACTGTATGTCTCAAATAAGCTGATGCTCTCAAGGGATGCCACGCCCCCCACCAGCATCAAATGTTAAATGTTTACATTAGATTACATGTTAAATATTTTAAAATGATAACTAATGAATATATAATAATGCAGGTTATGAAGGGACCAGGTATCACAGACGACATGCGTAAACAAGACGTCAGGCCTGTCCGTCTGATGTTGAAGCTAACCAGTGAGGTACGCTGTTAAGAAATCGGACCCTTCTGTTGTCATGGAGGCACAACTGTGTCAGTATCTAAAGCCCCAATAAACTTTTTAGGGGGCCTGCGGACCCAGAGCAACGGTTCTCCAGGAGCAAGACTACAAAACCCTGGCTTATAACCAAGAAGTCTGATACTTACCACATTCTCGCTATCCTTGATGACTGGACGACCGATCGCCACGTCTGTACCAGACGATTCCCTCTCTCTCCAGAGATCATCATTCAGCTGCCTACCGTAGAGCTCATCCTGACTTGGAAAAATATCTAGAAGAGACAGGACAAACGCAATGAGATGTATGAGAGGTGGTGATCAAACACCTCTCTGTGAAATCCATGTGGATTAGCAGCACTTCACTCTTAAAGGGTTATTTTCATTAGTTCCATATAGAACCATTTCATGCTAAAATGGTTCTTCAGATTCATAGAGAACGTATTATATATGGTTCTATATAGACAAATGACTCTATGTAACACCAATAAGGATTCTGCTGCTGTTACAATGTCAAGCTTATAATAATAACAATGGAAGAACACTTTTTGGTGCTATATAGAGTCATTTTCAAACATATAGAGCCATATACAAGACTTCCTCCATCAATCTGAAGAACCATTTCACCATGCAAAGAACCATTTAAGCATAAAATGGTTCTGTATAGAACTCGTAGTTCTAAATAGATCCATTCCCTTTACTAAGAGAACCCCTGAAGTACTATCTTTCTTGGAATTGTAGGTTAAACGACCAGGCAGCCCGATATGATACATACCGCCAGCAGGAGCCCTGTATTCCCTGTATTTGTCCGGCAGGCTCGCGCTCACTTGCACTCGGCTGGAGCGGTTCAGCGAGCTTTCCCGGATCCTCCTCTCCGCGTAGCCGCGCGCCATTCGCAGCTCCAGCAAATGCAGCTTCCTCTTCAGCGCCTTGTTCTCCCGCTGGCACTGAGACATCTGCAGGCTCATCACCGCGTAGTCGTCGTCTACGAGCTTGCAGATCTCCGCCACCGCCGCGTTCGCCAGCACCTCCATGATGGAGGCGAGCTGAGTCTGGAAGGCGAGACGGTTAGACATAGCGCTCACTGATGAGGCCTCGGCGGCTGGAGCTTCGCGTTTCGACCTGTTTTTTTAGGTTTTGTGCTTTTTAGGAGCGAAGATAAAATAAAAAAGGGGGGGAAAAGTAGACGAAGGAATGAATTCAATGGCGAGGAATGAACAGAGCCGTCTTGTTGCCGTCAGCTGTTGATGTCATGAGCACTTCCGGTTGTCCCGGAGTAGTGACGTAGAGGGCGATACACACACATACACACACACATAGACACTCTCACTCTCTCTCTCTCTCTCTCTCTCTCTCTCTCTCTCTCTCTCTCTCTCTATATATATATATATAGAGAGAGAGAGAGAGAGAGAGACCTAGATAGATAGATAGATAGATAGATAGGTATTAGAAATGACACATTTTTGTTGAGATGGAACATTATATTAAATTAATCCAGCACCTTTAACACAAAAACTGTTAAAGCATTTATTTCATGATTTTTGTAAACAATTTTTATTAGTAAGTACTGTGCCCATAAGTACAAAGTGCTTAAAAGTAAGCCCTTGCTTTGTAATAATAATAATGAAAAAGTGTGGAGCGCAATATAAAAACAAAAAGGTTGAGAAAACTCACAGAAAGGTCACATGTATTTCACATGTGATCATATGAAGTGTCCAAAAACACACAAACACGCATGTTAACATGTGACAGGACATGAATAATGTGTGATCACGTGGCATATTGTGACTCATTTGTGATCACGAAACATTACTTGACTAATATGTGATCAAATGTGACGTTATGCCCTGAAACTGCTGTTTTCACATAAAGTGCAACCGTGATATTATTGGAGTGTCGGCGCAGAAGAAGAACCAGATTATTTTTCAAGGCAAAGCTGTTTCATTGAGAAAAGCAGAAGAAGCCACTGACTAACTGGGAGAATAGCCGGGGAGGTCGCCAACGCCAGATACCACACACTGACGGTGAACGCACCAACCACTAATTAACGCACTAATTAACACAGCCAGCACATGTCAACACATTTCAGCTAACTAAACAACCACAACAAGTGTCCGTTTTAAAAGTGGGCGGGGCGTTGCGGGGTGGGTGGAGCTTGCCGGCGCTACTTTTCATGCCACACCCCTTGAGCTCGCCCTGAACCGCGGAGCGCGTGGCGGACGTCACGTTAAGCGTTACGTGGTGTGCCAGTAGGCCTGGCAAACCACTACACAGCTATATATATATATATACTCACTGGCCACGGCCGTAGGATGTCTCAGCCAACACTACTCGCCAGGGACTTGCTCAATAGCTGATAAGAGGGTTTAGCATTAAAGAGGGTGATTTTTCTAAATTTCTGTTAACATGTAAAAAAAAAAAAAACAATAATTCTGAGTACTGCTAATAGGTAGTACTAGAGGTGATGTCTGTGCAGGAGTTATTCGCTGCAAACGGTTTCATAGACATTTAAATAGGTCTGCCTTTGTCTGATGTTAATTATGTTTATGATTTTGTATTGAATAATCTAGATATTTTTTATTTTCTGCATAGTATCAAAGTTTTCTATGCATATATATTTTACTTAAAATATAGATACTTGAACTGCATAGAATGATGATGAAATGTGGTTTTAAAATCATAGCTGTGAGTTCTTCCTTCTAGGCCTTACAGTGACTTCTGTACTGCTTGTTTCTTTTGCACTGAGGTTCTTCAGGCTCTGAGTCACGATCGCTGTAAACCCATTAAGGCTTCCCTGCCTGGGTCTGCTGTGCTGGTGGTGTTGGCCCAAGAAGCTCCATTGTTCATGTTCTCTTTGCTGCAGTAGCAGGAGGCCTGCTTGAGTTTGAGTGAGAGAGGAGAAAAGTCTGAAATGTGTTTCTTAAGACAGAAATATGTAGGCCATATGATAGCTCCAGGTTTTTTTTGGTCTTGTTATTCCTAATCTGTGCCACAACATCTGTCCGAGGACCATCCTGAACATTTTCATCACTAAAGATCGGAGAAGTGTTTTTTTGCTGACGAGAATTTTATCATAAGTGGCCACATGAGGCAAAACTACTGGTCCCTGAGAAGATCCTTGCAGTCCATTACCCTGGTAATCTTGTCAAATATGTCACAGTTTTATTTGTCCATCGCGCTTGTTTCCTCTTCTGGGCCTGAACCATTGAGGCTAATTAGCAAAATATGGCTGGAACGTTCTCTTTTCCTAAATCTCTTGACTGGTGCAGCAGGGGGCGGCATAAGTAGCCGGTCAGTGTCAGTATCTTCTTGGCTAACATTTCCAGTCTGTCTGGCAGTAGGATCTCTGAAAAGCTTGAAATCAGTAACATCTCTTTTCTCACAATCCTCTTTTGAATAATCTGTGAGCCTCAGTCTGTTAGAAAAGGCCTCAGGCTTGGGAACAGAGTTGGTGCTCTCTTTGATGTCAGCATTATCTGTCAGGCTCCTTAGTTGTATTCCACAACAAACGCACAGCAACAGATGTAACATTTCAAATTGGAAGTCTGGACTGGCTACAACTTCTGCATGAACTGGGATGTTCCTCATCATCCACAGTGTTTCTTGTGCTGCATACTGTGAGTGGAGAGAAGAGTGCATGTAAAATAATATACTGTGGCATATTCCTGACATCCATGGCAGTATAGTATTATGATGACATGGTATTATTAAAAATTATTAAAGGCACTTTCCATGATAAAGTTCAGTTTCTGTCCCATTACATATTTAAAAGCAATAAACAGATTTCTGTGAAAAGCAAAATGATCTGTACTTTAGCTTAAAAATGATTAAACTTAACATTTAAGTTCACAACCCTGTTGCTCATTTTTTTTTAAACCTTAAATTATTTTAAAGGGGAAAAAAAGTATTTTAAGGGATTTTATTGAAAAAATTTTGAGTAAAACAAATTGTTAACTTTTCCTTCTGCTCAATAATGTATACTTTTATTATGGCATTAATTTCAGCTTTAGGTGGAATATGATCTCTCTAGTTCAACCCAGTTACTCTCTTCCACCCTCTTATTCAGTCATTTTTGGTGAAAATTGCTTTAAAAACATTTAATTTAGTAGATTATTTTACCAGAAGTGTCCATCTGGTAACAAGAGTCATTGGTTACATTTATTAATATGAGAAAAATGCATTATTTTGGTCTAGAAAGAAAAAGACTCTAAAGGGTTTGAAGTAATGTATGTAAGAAATATGAAAAACACAAGAAAACATTGGAATTTTATCATTTATTTGAAAAGTTAAAAAAGCATTTTATAAATATCTGTATTTCTTGCTACAAAATCATTATTTCAATTGACAGGCTTTTAAATGCTATTTATACATCTCCCTAAAAACTGATGACAGGGTTACAAAAATGCTGTACATTTAGAAAAAAATTAGGTCATATAGTCTCTGATTTGACAGCCTGAAGTGGGAAAATAACATTTTCTGAAGGTTAAGCGTGTACTTTGATTAATACTTTGTCAAAAAAGTAAAGTTTTAAAGACTTTCAAGGCCTTAAAAGAACTCAAGGAAAGTGTCTTCATCCCTGTAAAGAAATTGGTAAGTTTCTCACAGTAAACCATTTCTCATCAAACCACTCTGAGTGATTATTTACATCTCAATGACTGAACTGTGCGGACATTTTGAAAAATCAAGGAAAATTCCTGTTTAACTGCCACACCCAAAAAGAAAACCTGAGTATTTTGCAAGACAAATGACAGTGAAAGCTCTTTAAACGTCTATGCAGCTCTTAAAAGCTTTCACCACTTGGTGGCATTAGAGCTTTGTCCTTCAGTCTTCATAGACTTGCAAGCAGGATACTGTTGTTGTTTTTTTAGATGATACACAAAACATTTTTGTATGAAACAGTTGAATTTTTATTTAAACATTTTTACACTACATTCAGTAAAAAAAAGTTTAATAACCAAAACTAATAATAAACTAATAATAATGAATGTAGTCCAAATCACGAACTGCTGTGTATGTACATGCTACACTGATGTTTTTCATTGATCTTGCTCCATGTTATTAAAATTATTTGGTAGTTCTTGCATAGTCAGGACCCTGTTTGGCAGACTTTCACTGTCTTTCATGTTTATGTGAATACTGGGACTAACAATACAAAGCCTTTATGAAAGTCCTTAAAAATCAATACGAATGTCTTATAGTTCTTTTTAAATCAGTCCAAGGTTTTCAGAGATTACGTTGTGCGCTCTGTGAGCTGTGGTCTTGTCTTGAGGCTTTGTGGATTTTCCTGCTTTATTTACTTTACTGTAAATGACCATGTTCTTGTCCATCTTATCTGTGTCCTGCTTGCTTTCTGTTTCAGAAGCAGTGATTGGTAAACTGTAGATAGGTTCTTCCTTGTGCTGATCAAGGGCTCCTTGTTCCTGTGCTTGGTTTGGTGTGACATGACACACCTCGGAGTACACTGGTTCAGGCTGACTGTGATGGGGAGATGTTGGCGTGGTGATGGAGATTTTGACTGTGTCAGCGGGATTAGAATGTGTTTGAGCATTTGGGTTGGGCCGGATGACATCAGCAGGGTCGGCATACTCTGGCTCTGAATAATCGCTATGGTGATGGCTAGGCCTGCCATTTTTAACAGTCTGCTGGAATCTAATGTCATCACCCTTGTGTAAACCAATAAGATCAACAGGAGTTGAATACACAGGTTCGGGCAAACTGGTGGATTCGCCAGGAAGTCTATATGTAGTAGGTTTGACAGATGTGAACTCAGGCAGGCCAATAGGACCTGAACTAAGAGCACTAGCTGGATTGAACTGCACGTGCTCGCAGTTTACACTGAAGTCAGAACTGCTGTTGGTCTGAACGTCCAGCAGGGACGCACTGATGGGTCGTCTGGGCAAGGGAGAGCAAGGGGAGCGAGGAGAGCAGCTACCTGCAGAGATGGGCAGGCTTTTCTGCTGGTGAATGGCCAGCTCCACCAGGCGGAGAATCTCATCACTTTGCTTTGTCTCAAAGTTAAAGGTGCCAGGACCAGAATAGCAACGTCTGCCTGCCTCGATTGAGAACATTGTCTAGGAAATGAGAAGAGAGAGAGAAATCAACGCTAAGAATATTCATAATATGGGGTTGGAACATATAAGGCCTGATTGTTCAAAAGCACTGAGATATTGCAGTAACACATTTTCTTACTCATATAAGTGGATCACCAGCCTGTTTTAGTGTTTTGTGATGTAACACTGCCATTCTTTACCCTCTTTTGCATGTGTGGTTAGTTTTTGGTAAGAAACCAATGTGAATTTATTAGCTTTTCTATGTTTTCAGACATGTTTGGTCACAAATGTGATTCGTCAACAAATTATGCACGTATGTCCACTTAATTGATGAATCAGTATAGTGTGGCGTTCAGAACAAAACCTTGAATCTCCATTTTTCTGTGAACATTTCTACATGAACTTAGACTAAACATTAAGACACTTTTTTCCTTCTTCTGTAAAGTTACCATTTTGGACACCATGACAGTATGTAAAAGGCAATTTTGGACCTGTTTGGATTGAGCATCATAGCAATCATTATGAGTACATTTGTAGCAGTATTATACAAGGACACATGGGGAGGAGGGGAGGTCATATGTGTGTATATTGATTATTTTACAGTTGGCTTTCAGGTTCTTCTAAGGTTCTTCTATTGTTACAAGCCTGACATCGTAACAATAGAAGAACCCTTTTGGGTTCTACATAGAACCATCTACAGCACATTCTCTGTCAGTCTGAAGAATGCTTTCATGATGCAAAGAACCGTTTAATCATGCAAAACGTTCTTTAAGGGTTCTACATAGGACACTCAAAGAACGTTTTGCATGATTAAACGTGATATTACATATCACAGCACAGGTAACCAGCACACATATACGGTCAATAAGAAACATTATAGCTCACTGGATTCTAGGAAACAGGGATACATGTGCATTTAGTAAATGGCTTAGTTTGATGAGCTTGGTTGGTGCCTGAACGATCAAGCTTTGACCATAACCTGTTCCTGACCTGTTTATAAACACAAGTGTAAGTACACCTCAGGTGCTGAGACTAACTTAAGGTTAACCCCAGGTTAAGGTTAAGGTCTGTTTCTCTATTTTTTTTTCTTAGTCATTTAATTGCTTAGGCAAGCCCTAGAACTGCCTGCTAGTCTGCCATGACTAACATGAAATCCTGTATCTAAAGTTAATGAGTCATTTTGACCATAGCAATCCTAGCAATAGTTACCAAATACTTAAATGGAAATGGGTGTGTCTCATTGAAAATACCAGTGCTGATCAGTCATAAACTTGTGTCTCAGAAAACCCCCACATCAACAGATGTTTCACCCTCGCATATTGAGTGTTTCAGGCATGAGACACTAAGTAGAAAACCAACCAAACCTGCATCAAACTTTCACACCAAAGCAAAAGTGGCCAAGTCTATTCAAGATCCCACCTGGTGACTTCAGTTAGTGATGGACAGGTAGGCAGTACAATAACCTGTGTCATATAAGTCAAGCTGTACGTTTTCTGTACATGCATTGTCAAGATACACATAGAAACATTGCTTATGCACTTTATTACATCTTGAAACTTTTCAAGGAGCTTATTGAAATATTACCGGCATAAACATTCACCTTTATTAACCTGCATTTAGCTAATTTTAAAGTTAAAGCCCTCCATGCCTCTTTGGCTGCCCTGCTTGGACAGTATCCACAGTTGCTGTTAACTGACCTTGTCTCGTCCGTAGCGGCGCAGTAGCTTGTATGGCCACTCCATTATGCTCTGCCTGCTCTCCTTGTCCTTGAGTATCAGTGCGTCTTCCCCTGCCTGCAACCAGTACGCCCCCTTCAGGCCGCATCGCGCCGATGCCTCCAACTGCTGCACAGTCACCCAAAACTCAAATACTGCAGGGAAAGGAAAGCTGAGGTTCAGGGTTAAGAGGAAGAACTTAAGGTGGTTTGAACTGTTGCAATATTCTGGTGACCCGTTATGCAACAAATTCTGTGGTGGCTAGCAGTTCAGTTAATGGGGGAAGTTAAGTGTACTAGTTGGCATTTCTGTGAGTATATGAAGTGCTGTGGAAATGCTCAACACAGCTAATGAGTTATGACAAAGAAATAAAGGCATATTTCAGTTCAGAAGGACAAAAAAATGGTAATATTTACTTTAAACAAAAATCTTCTATTGAAACGTTCTTTAGGACACTGGTTCTCAAACTGCTCCACCTCTGATGGTCCACAATTTTGTGGTTCTTCTATGGCATTGCTTAGTAAGTATGCTTAAAAAAGCTGCAAACTCAAACCAGGCTATAAAGGGCCAGTATGAGCTGGTCTTAAGCTGAAGTAAGCTGACCAGTGACATTTAATAAATAGACAAACCTTCTTCTCTAGAACCATAGATCTGATTCTCCGACATCTGTGGAAGCTGCTTTGGAACATCAACGCTACCTTTCTGTTACAGAGTAACAAGGAAGACAAGATCAACAAAACATGTAATCACACATTTTTTGCTTGATTTTGTGTGTTTACTTGTGAAGACACATGGTTTTAAATCAATGTTCATGTGGTGTTTTTTGATCAATAAGCTGCAAATCCTCACCTGAAAGGCAATATCACAGATTTTCTCCACCCATTCTCCACATTCCTCTTTCTCTACTGCGAACACCAGCCTCTTCTCGTCCGTCTCTACGCAGAAGGCGGCCATGTTGTCCCCAGGGTGGGCCTCTGCGTGCGGGGGGAGTCTAACCACGCTGATGCAGTCTGACAACCTTACCACTTTGCGGTCAGGCTGCCTCCTGACCATTGCTGGCGACCGATCTGAACTTGTCTCTGTCAGCTCCAGTCGTGCCACGCCATGCCGGCTACCCGGGTAAAGATTTAGCCAGTACCGCTTCCACTTCTAGCCACGGAGGGGGGAGAGAGGCAGGATGGAACAGGCTTGAGAACGCAATGCTTCTAGCAGCAGTGTGTAATACTTAATAATAATAATCTCATCCCACTCATTGCGCTCAATTATACTAATCTGATTCTGATTTTTCTTGCTGGCCAAAGCATAAGTTGGAGCAAGACTGCACTCTGCTCTGGCATGTCTCAGTCCTCCACCCTGAGACTGAATTATTAATTAAGATTCTTCTTATGCATTGGAAGAGCTACTTCATCCAAAAGAAAGCTAGACGTGTACAAGTATACTATGCAAATTAGATTATGCTAATTGGTCAGTGCCTTTTGTTCATTGTATCCTTACACATGAAGGCATACTTAATTTCATAGTAGCTATAAAATACAATTTCCTTCTGTTTTTTCTTTAATAATACATTTCAGTGGAAATGTGTGTGATTTACAAACTGGTAGTGAACTGGATTTTTGTCTTTTTGTGTGAACAAGCAAGTCAACATTTATTAATTTGTTATTGTGGCTGATGTACATGAAGTTTTAAAATCAAGAAGGCAGCAATTGTTTATCTTAGTTTATCTTAATGGCCGTCTTTGTAGAAAGATGTGGACATTTTTCACAGCTAGGGGCCTTCCCCTTTGGCCCTTCATTGCTCACTAGCAGCTCAACACAGTCACAGTATTACACACAAAGAGTCAACTGTGTCCTAGTTAATCTGATAACAGAGTAAAAAAATATATTTGATTTTTTTAGCTAAAAATAAGACAATTTCCTTTCCTGCTGCAGACTGGCCAGTAGGGGGCTTGCAGGACAAGGCTACTTGTATATAATCCTCATATGATCATACACCCTAAGGATCTATCTATTGATTATACAGCACTGGACATCAAAGATATGAAGATTATAATTTAGAGTTGTTATTAATTTCATTTTTTATTAATTTATACTTGCCCATTGACGTCCTATATATTTACAAGGATTATGTTATGATCTATTTAAACCCAATGTATTAACTGAGATAGTAATAAGCAAAATATATACAAAATTATCATTTATAGGGTACTTTCTAAATTCTAGTGATGTTGAAAGATTTAGATATAGATTTATCATGAGTTTAATTTCTAAATAAAAAAATATATATATTTAAAAAATGCTGGTCCCACGTTTTCATATTACTACAAAAACACAAAGTTTGTAGGCTAAGCCTTATTTTAGCCACACCCCTGCACTGTAGAGCAGTAAGTGAGACTGCATCCCTGTGCCTCATGGCCACATGGTGAGCAGTTCGATTCCATTGTTTTGAAGTAAATGTGTCCTGAAGTCTGAAAATCAGTGTGGAACATTAAGATTTGTCACTACCGAAACACATATTTTCTGCACTTAAGCAAATTCTTTTGTGTTTTACTGAAGAATATTATGATTTTGTGTGTGTACAGCTGTTCAAAGCTGTGCTTGCCAGTCATGTAGTGTTTTTGAGTTCACAATTAGCAAAAATTGTCACTTCCGAAACAGACGTTAGCGAAAAAGTTTAGGTAGTGTTATGACTATTTAGGTAGTGATAAAATGGAATGTTCAACCATTTGTTTTAATAAAATAAACATATTTAAGGTATAGGGTCACTCAAAACGAGAACTTTAGCCTAAAACCTAAGTCAGTTAAAAGTCTGATATGTGTTTTGAACTGTAAATTTGAACTAATTCGGTAGAATAAGCCAAAAAAGCCTTTTCAGTGGCAGCTTCCCTTTTCAAGACTAGTTAATAAATCTCTCAACTGTGTGTGTGTCTAAGTGTGTTCCAGCAAAGGTACCACAGCATGCGTGTGTGCAAATGTGCGTCAGCGTAATTGTGAAAGTCACAGAAATGTGTGCTCTGCCTCGACATGTAGAAACAGAACCTGCTTTATCTTTCACATACCAGCGCATAACTTTATACCTGGGGCTGTGAACACAAAGTCTTGTCTAGGCAGAAATGAACAGTGAACATCCATATCAGTACACATCAGACTCCAGCTAACAGATCTGTATGTGCTTCATGAGAGCTATACGCACATGCAATTAGAAGCAGATAAGTCTGAGCACTTTTTGTTGTTGCAAGGAGGCTCTGCCTTTCTTATGATTTTACATGAGAAGTTGGTGGTTCTACTTATTCATCTTCTGATTGGTTTACAACAAAACTATTTGTACTGGAAAGCTATTACCTTTCTCAATCAAAAACAGACAGAAAACGTTTAGTTAGGTCTTACCTCGGAATGTTTATGGTGTTGTAAATAAACTTCTCCTCGCTTCATAAGGGTATCCATTCCTATTTGAGCTGGGCTAGAAACGACTGCAGTGTCTTACTGAAGAAACACGTAAAGTCCTGTTTACAGTACTGAAGCTTGTGAATGTGAACGCTGACTCCACCTGAAAGTTGAGCTTCTTGAACCACTGCCTTTTTCTGCCCAACCCAGAACCTATCAGCAGTTCATATTTGAACTCTCCGCCTAGTGAAATTACGTCATTACACAAATGACATCATATCACATCATATGGAGGGCTTGACTGTGCACATTTTGAGTTGTATGACTCAAAGTATCCATGGGAATGTTTTCATATGTTTTCCTTTCATAGACTATTACAGAGGAAGTCTTAATATGATTTTATTTTTACATTTGTAATAGACTGCTTTAGATACAGTATAATACTATAGAAGAGGGGTGCCCAAACTTTCTGTCTTGAAGAGCAGAAGTGTAATGTTCGTGGTGGGAGCAGGGGTGGTCTTTTCACTAGGCAAGGGTAAGCAGTTGTTTAGGACCACCATGAGCGGAGCGCCCCATCAAAATACAAATTTGATAATTTTCGGTAATGATTATTACTTTAAGCCCCAAGTTATGGTTGTAATGGACTTTTCCATGTTGTTACATGATGACCCCACCTCCTTACCATTGCTATTCTGTCAAATTTTCATCTCAAGCTACCTGGCATCAGTAGCACTTACGTGAAAGGAAACCAATTTAAATTTCAAAAAAATTATAACCCTGGAAACTATGTTTACATCACAGCAGGAAAATTGCCTGGGGCAGTTTAGTTTGACTCAAGAACATTTAAAGATGGTCCAGGCGGAAGGAATAAGAGACATACTCACACCCCACTGAACAACAGCAATGTGGAGAAGTGAGTGAAAAAGCAAATGGAACACCAGAGGAAAACCGATACTTTTTGTAGGGTGGAGTTTGTATTTTTGCTTTGTATTTTGTATTTATATATCGTTGCTGTTGGAACAAAACCTCATATCTCCATTTTTGACATAATTTGAAAATGCCTGTTACCCTTTATATTGTTTGTAAATTTAATGAAGAATGGACCAAAAGAAAAGCCTCAGAATTACTTGGAAAAACATCTGGTTCCATTGACTTACATTAAAATTAAAATGTGTTTTTTCCTTCTCCTGTAAAGTTACCATTTTGGAGACATGAGGTTTTGTTATATGTTAAATCTGCAGTAGCCATGCACTGTTAAAGTTAACACATTTTAGAGCAAAGTGAATCATTTCCTGCACCAACTGTTGGCCTCTTTGGGTTGTAAATTGTGCATGTCACTCTGGGAATGTTCCAAAAACATAAGCAGGAGTTGTAGACCAGGTTTGTGCCCTGAAGTGGCCCAATATTGTTTTAATAACTTTACAAAGCTCTAAACGGCCTCATTCCTGAGTACCTGAGTGAACTTATCTTTTATTATGAACCGTCACACCTACTTAGGTTACAAGGTGCTGGCTCACTATTAGCACCTACAATTAAGGTTACATCATGGGGGAGAGCCTTTTCATACAAAGCCCCCCAGCTGTGGAATAACCTTCCTGTCAGTGTTCAGGACTCAGACACAGACTCAGTGTTTAAGGCTAGACTAAACCTAGTTGTTTAGTCAGGCCATTTGGTAATTACTTTTTCCTGTCAGATTAAAGGTGCAGATCTGGAGGTTCATGGGCACTGAGTATTATAGTAAACAGAGAATGTCGGTGTTGTTCTGCTGCTCTCACACGCTTGCTCAGGTCTGTTGACAGTGGAGCGGAGGGGCACTGACGTTTTTTCTACCTTCTGGCTCTCCTCTCTCACGTTAGGCTGTAATACCTAGGCCTGCTGGAGTCACTGCATGCACTCTGTCAGTACTATACATTGTTCTCAGTCACTAACTGTCTGTGTGTTTCTTTTCGAAGCTGAACAACTGCCCATCCTGTGCGGTGTAATGCTGTTGCTTTATCTGCCTTGATCAGGTGCCCCTGCTTGCCCACCTTCTGGGCCAGCCTGATCACCATGGAGCTTCTTGGTGTCCAGTGCTGTTAGAAAGAAAATTTCAAAGTTGACTCCTTTTTACTTTCTTTTTTTCTTTCTTTTGACCCCATTTAAAACCAGTATACAGAAAAAGACCTCAACTTTAACCCTTCTTTTTGCCACAAAGAAGGTACATGCACTTCAGAAAGGTGCTGAAATTCAAAAATAACCATGAAACATTATTCGTACATACTACATTATTTTTTGGTTCACATTACATTTCATTACAAAAAACATTTTATTAAGTTTATGAGCAATGCTTATTAAATTAAGAAAAAAGTATCAAGCTAATAAAACAATGTTAAATGTGTTTTTGAAGAACCTAAACATAACATGAATATGAAACTCGTTTTTTTGTCTCCTGTGAGGGAAATCAGGCACGGCAGCTGAAAGGTGAGAAAGTGAACTCCTTTTATCCATCACCCACAGTAGAGAAGGATGCATGCCAGACAGCATCATCCAGAGTGTGGTTCTTGCGATAAGCACATCTACTTTTAAAAGTCAACCACACTTAACTGCATTCTTATAGTCCTCCACTCAAAAATGTGCACCTAATCCTGCAGCAGTGTGCAGAGAAGCCAGGATACAGGCCCCAGCAGGAGACACACAGGAAACAAAGAAAGGCAAAGTGGATTCAAAGAGCACAAAAAAACCAAAAAGCAATCGGGCTGCCTGCTGTTGGCTGTAGAGAAGGTGAAGAATGAAGAATCTAGAAGAAAACAGGGTGAAATTTGATAATTGTGCCCCACAGAGTAGAGTGAAAACATTCATTGGCATAAAAATACAGGACACAATTGGAAATAGAGTTTAAATGACAAAATGTAGGAATTCATCAAGAAAGGGACATCAGGTAAAGTGGGACAAATAAACTTAATTGCTGTGTTGCTCCTTGAGTGACAGGAGCTAATTAAATGTAACAATTGTGAATAATTACCACAAGAGCGCTGCACATTCAGTAACTGTTCATTGGTCCCATGTTATTGATGTGAGCATGGTCATCATCTTGAATCAGACTGATTCCACCAACCACGTAGTGGACTGACAAATCAGAGTGTCTTTTTTCATATAAATGACACTACACTGAGCCTACCATCACTTTCCAGACAGCTCTATCACCTGCCCACACCCATATCAAAGCGAGACCCTGGAGCCAAATGTTGCCTATTTTTGTTAAGAAACAGTCTGATTTCACAGATATAGATGTTGTTCCAAATCAAGAACATTTGACACTGAGAGCACATCCAAGTCACATATTGTGACATATACATTTTTTTTTCAATTGCCTAAACCCACTTCCCAGAACTCTAAGCCCATTCTCAAAACAGTTTCTCAAAACGCCACCACAGTAATGCAACCGACCATGACATTTCATTTCCCGTTATCATCACATTTTTTTCATATTTCACCAAAAAATAAGCAAATACGTAATCACATGCACATACACAATCCCCATTTGACCACGCTTTGTCAGACATTACAAACTGCATTCTCGTCTGTCAACTATGTACAATTACACTTGCATTGATACAGTTGTTCATTGTGTAAATCATTGCATGCAAAATATTACATACAACCAGCACTGTGTTTGTAAAAATGAAGAAAAGGCCAGCATGAGTCACTTCGGTTTCTAGCAGCTGAAAAGCGAACATGTACACATGCTGTCAGTCCCATTTTCCATATAAGAAGAAGTTCTGTCTGAATGTGGATGGAGTTTATATCACCCTATTTACCCTCCCTCAACCTCACTGTGGAATTTTCAGCGTTGAGGTGAAAGGTTTATGACCACCAGCCCCTTAAGCGGATGTCTTTACCATAAGCAGTGTAAGGGCCCCCGAGCCACCAAGAGGCCCCGTGAGCATATTGTATTTATGTAATGTTTTTGTTTGTATTATTTATTCTATTTTATTTAAACGTTTTATTCTGTTTAAAAGTAATGAAGTATTACTTCGTTTTTTAATTCTTGTATGCAAATTATTATGATAGATGTGGTTCATAGGACGTTACTAAAAGGCCCCAAAAGTTCAGAAATGACTTAGTGTGATGCTGTTTTATGGCCTTTAATACAGAGGAGAGACTGGATGCATAATGACTTACAGCTCTGCTTCTTCCTTCACTGTAATTATGGCCATATTGTTTATCATTTTCTTCTATGTTCTATTTGAATACTATAATAAACATTTTTTTCAATCTTTTTTTACTGTCTAGTTTTGATGCAAGTATTTTGCATTTATTATGTCCCTGTTTAAACAGTCAAAGAGCCCTTTCTCCATTTGACAACAGTGGTGTAGTGGTTGATCAATCTGTGTGGGTCCAAAAATCATATTTTTTTCATTTTTATACATTTAAAATAAATTTATGACAGCTAAAATGAAGACAAAATATTCAAGATTCTACTCTATTTATGGGTCATTATATGCAAATTTGTGCCATTGACCATGTTAAGGCAACCTTATTTTCATTGACGCTCGTGTTCAGACAACTCTTAGGTGGATTTAACCTACTCATCAGAGGCTTTTGCACAAACTTGTGGAGTCAGCTCGAGTGCACGCTGTCATTAAAGAAAAAGAAGGACATACCAAACACTAAAAAACTCTGAAGTTCATGCTAAAATGACCTTAAATTACCTTAACTTTCACTCAAACTTTCATGCAGATATTATTTGTAATGAAAATGAGGTATTAAATTAGAAAAGAATGCAAAATAGAAGCAATTTCTCTAGTGGGCTTAGACCTTTGGACCCCACTGTATGAGCTTAATGTTTTGAGTGTTTCAGGTTCTTTTGTACTGGTGATATAGTGCTATGTGCTTTTACTGCTTTGGGACCTGCACTTTTTGAATTTTGAGAATTAGTGTTTTTAAGAAATTAATCTAAGCATTGTAATAAAAAGTAATTCTGTATAAAACTAATGATCAACTCTGCCTTTTGCAGGCTATCTGAGTACTCTTCCCAATACAAGGGTGCAGTGTGCTTCATTTCTAGAAAGAGGAAGCCCCCTAGTGGACTGGGAAAGGAGCCACTGGTGCTATCCCCTCCCCAGCCCAGAGTCTGTCCATATGGCCAATTCCAGAAGAACCTGAGCCCTGAATACCAGAGGAATTACAATCAGAAGGTACAGGAAGAGAAGACTGGAGACCTATTATTTCACTACTTGTTTTATTCTATCCTGTAAAAAAGGGCTGTAAAACATGTGATGAAATAGAGCTACAGTGCTCTAATGTACAAGTAGCCATTCAAAAGGTACTGAGGAGAAAAACAGCCTTTCCATTGTCCAAATAATTATAACTAAATCCTTCCCAAAAATTAAATGTCAAAGAGAAGTAATTATGAAAAAAAGACAATAACACCACTTCTCTCTTCTCCATGTCTGTTAAACACTGTCCAGACCAGCCCTACCTAGACACAACACCGAAACAACTGACCACTAATCAGGGTGTCATAGACCCCCATGTCTGTCATAGAGTGCTCTATACTCTACTGTGATATCAATATTTGCATTTTTATTCATATTTGATACCATTGCTTATATTTTCATTCCGTTCTTTTAAAAATGCCAACACATGACCATATTGCATGTTGCACATTAATCACATTTTCCCAGAAATGGAAGCAACTTGCATGTTGAATCTATCTTCTGCCAAAAGTGTCTTTTCCCCAGCATATAGATTACAGAGAGTTTACACCTTATTGGACACCCTCTACAGTTACATATTCTTTACACAAAAGTTCCTTTATAGGACCTTTAAAACTGTCACAGCCGGAGCAAACTTCCAGTGATGGACCAGACTTCATGAGCTCTGTTTTCAAACATTATGTGTGCCTTACAAGAGCTGCTACAGCACATTTCCAAATTATTCATCAGAGCTTCAGGAATTCCACATTTTTTTTCAAAATTTCTGCATAATTGAATCATTGAGATGTAAAAGTCATTCGGAGTGGCTGGATGTGAATCTGCTCATTGTAGAGAAACTTATTAAGTCTGATTTCTTTATAGTGGTGCTGATTGGAACCAGGAGTGTGATATTAACAATGGAAATAAATCAAGACAAACATCTGAGTTTTTATGTGTAATGTTGATAATGGTGAAATGGTGCTGAATATGAAAAATCAGCTCTTTGGACAGTGTCTGGATGTACCTCTCTGTGTTTTGTTATGAGATTGCATTAAACTTTCACATGTATGGTTCACCACCACAGTGAACAATTCTCAGTGAATAACTTTGTTTACATCTATTTAATTATACACAATTTTGGAAAAATTGGTGGAAACTCCCCTTTTAACATTTGCTAATGGTATATGCAACGTTCAGCCTGTTTCAGCACTATTTTAGCTCAACTGAAGTCTTTAGATGAGCCCTCGGAGGGGGTGAAATACAGACTGAACACAATTGTCATCTTCAGCAGCAGAACCTGATCAGAAATAATTGCAGCTAGACACATTAGTCTTTTTAAATACTCTTCCACAGCTGACAAAGCTTCATTATCTTTCTTTGCTAGCTTCCTAGCTAGCCAAAGGCTAAACATCTAGCTAGCAACAGCAAGAAGGCAATACACCATGGTTTTAACCAAAGATTACAGTCAGAGCATAGACTAGTGTTTCCTGACCCTGGTCGTGGAGGCCCACTGTCCTGCACTTGTGTTTTTCCGGCTCCCAACACACCTGATACAACTAATCAGCTCAGCAACAGCCCATTCTTGAGTTAAAGTGGGTGTGTTAAAACAGAAACAGCACTAAAGTTCACTGGGCAGTGGGCCTCCAGGACCAGGGTTGAGAAACACTGCCATAACCCACCCTGAAGAACTTAAAGAAACTACAACATCATGTAAAGGTGGCACTGAGTTATAGGAGTCAAACACCAAGACAAAAACATCAAAGAGGGAACCTGCTCTTTTTATTTCATTATATCCTTTTTTTCTTCATTTTTGTTAATGCAACTTGCACAGTGACAGGACTTCAACTGAGGAAAAAAAAAATGTGTGGAAATCCCTCACAGGTAGTCAGCTGCCATCAGCTCCAAACATCTTGAACTGGTCCACCTTCCGATGCTCTGCTGCGTCAACCCCACCCCGCTTCCCTCCCCCTCGACACGTTTCCTCCCGCTAAACTCCCTTCAGAAAGGGAAATAAATGAGAAGAAAGAACGGAAAAAAAGAAAGAAAATAGTAACAATGTCCAGGGACAAACTGCTAGTCACTATCACAATAGTGGAGATCACATTGCCTCTCTGAGATTGAAACACAGACAACTTTCTGGATAGCTAGTCACACTCTGAAGCGGTCCAATGGCAGCTTTACACTGATTACCTGGCCCTCCCCAGCACCCTGCCCAGGTTACATATGGAGACAGACAAAAATAAAAAGCTTATAGAAGAGCATCCAACACCCCCCACCCCCACCCACGAGCCCCACCCCACCAACCCCACACACCCCCCACTTTTAAGTGAGGCCTGAGTGGGGGTGACTGCTGACCATCAGCAGTCACATAGAGTCTCTATAAGGGAACCCATATTTAGTAGGTCCCTAGTATTTCACTCCTGGCACGAACTCCTTCGCCTCTGGGTTCAAACTGCTCTTGCGCTGTTGGAACAAAACAGAAAACAACAATTACTTGCAAGTTCCTCAAACAATCTTCAGTAAACAAAGCCAGCCGTATATAACCTGATTCCTGCTGGTTTAGCATGAGAACGTCTGCGTAGTTCTCCATTTAGGTTGTTACCATTCTCGTAATTTTAAAAGCCAGGACTGTGACTTAGATCTAATCCTAACAGCAAGCAAACATTCAAATGTATTGCATCACGTTTCAAAGTCTTCACAATGTCTACACCGGAAACATCAAGCCTAAGCATGTTCATTAGCTGTGAAAACGTTCAGACCAATAAAATACTAAAACAGGTGTGTGAACAACAAATAAAGCATGGAATCAATGGCTGTGGTTACATGCAAAGATTTTTGCCAATCTGATTGAATACATCCCAATTACAGATTTAGATTGAGGTGTTTTTTTCCGTACTTTTTCCGTATAACAGTGAACATATGATAACAGTACTGTTTAATGCAAAAACTAAGTTTATAAGTACTTTTGGTCATCAAATTACCACCGCGAGTCTTTTTCTGCCAGTCTGAAGACGGCACTTTTCTCACGCTGGGGCTGAATCTCAAAAGGCTCTTGCTTCCTACATACTGCACTGTATAGGACTTTAAATACTGACTCATGCACCCAACAACGCAAAATATCACAAAAAAAATGGTCATTTGGGATTCATCCACATTCATACTCGACAAGCAGTGCACCATTTCACAGCAGGAGCTACAATTTCTAAACGTAATGCTAACGTTACACAGCACAATAGGGAGTACGGAGCCATTTGGGATTCAGCCTGGATTTGATGCTACTTCTGACAAACACTGACATTTGAAGCGTGTAATCCATTCGGGTGACATTCTTTAGTGTTTTATATTGCGGTTTTTCAGTGAGTCACATTGTGAGTACTTTAGTTCAAGCCTGTGATATTATGTTGAAGTTGTTTAGCATGTTTAGCAAGTTATCTTTCAGCCTGTTGGCTAGCTGACTAGCCTAGTTCTAGTAAAGAAAAACGTTTTCAGCTCCTCGGTTCAAACAAAAACAGGTTCTTACTTCATCAGTTCACTCGGTGCTCCGTGCGATCAGCATTAGAGTCAAAGATTAATCTATTAACAGCAGAAGGGTTTTTCATGCTGTGGTGCAGTAATACAGAGTTCAGTTGTTGTGAGGTGGTCATAGCCGCGGTATATCGTGGATTTTACAACAGCTTCGAACGCAACTCAGCCAATCAGATTTTAGGACAGGAACTATCCATTTTATAAATGGATGCATTCTATTTTGATTGAGCTATTAGTCGGATTATTAACGGATCATCAGACAGCCATGTAAACTTGGCTAACGTGACAGTATAGTGGGAACCTTGTGAAAGCAGAGCTACACTGCATAACTTGCTGCAACGCATTTGACTTGTCCACAACGATGATAAATGTGTGTTATTAATTTGTGACATCATTGAACTTCGGCAGACGTCTTTTTACATTTGTTTTTACATTTGTGTAATATATTTTAACGTGATATCAGCAGGTTGCAGCAAGAAAACACAACAGTATCTGAAACTTCCATCACTCATTAACTCTTTTCAGTTAATAACCTCATAACAATTAGAGGAAGGGTCATTACACAGGTATTTTTGGCTAGCTTAACCGTACTGAGGAAAGGCAGTTGGCTTAACCACAGTATTTTTGTTGAGGTGGAACAAAAATAGGAAAAAAGTGTGTCCACTAACCATATTGCATTTTTGTGGCTAGTGCACACCACCTCATTTGCTGTATTGGATGCATGTTGGTTTTGTGGTTGTTGCTTGCTTGCTGTCAGGACAAAGCATTAGGCTGCGTTCAGGAGTATTTTGCAGAAGCTCTACGCTGAGCGTTGTAACCACACGCTGTTAAATCTGCCTTGTATCCAACTGCACCAATAAACTAGTGAGCTTAGCTATGCATCTACTTTAGATTTGTCAACATTTAGCCTTCCTAGGCAACCTGCCTTCGCTTCATCTTTGGATGGCAAAACGATCTCGCAAAAGGAGGAGATCTAACATCATAAAGCTCCTTATTTTTATCCACAACTCTGCAGCCTGCCATCTTGTTTTTTCCACTACCTTACTGAGCTTTGACCAAATTCAAATCTATAATATCTATTATTTTTCAGTGTTTCAGGAAAAATGACTTACTGCAATGTCTTCCGCGTTTCCGTCACTGACCGACAGCCCGCTGAGTTGCTGCTGAATTTGTCCGACCCCAGGGGGGAGGTCTCTCGCAGGAATGAACCAATCCTGATCCTCCTCCTCCAGCATTTCCTGGAAACAGCGCTCCAGAAACTCTTGCTCCAAAAGCTCTTCTTCCACCTGCAAATGAACCAGAAAATCACACACACATACAAGAGTGAAAACGTCCCTTACTAATGATCTGGCATTTCCTTCTAAGGACATCACTGCCGCGTTACAGTCTCGAACTTACCTGTCGGTTGTACTCCTCCTCATTTTCCATCCACATGTACTCTGCAAAGGGGTTTGGCTCTCCTTCCTTGTGTCCATTCATCACACCGTCATCTTTTCCAGAACCACTGCCACCCCCTGGTGTCTTTGCCACCTCAGGACTGTTAATATCTGCAGGTTCTGAGAGTAAAGAAAAGAATCAGTATTTCAAAATACCCATAATATGGAGAGAAAAAAAAAAAATGCTGGTCTAGGCTTTGCGTAATGAATATTCTTCAGGTATGTATATATGTGTGTGTATAAAATCACCTCTTCCTCTACAGCTGTGGTAAAGCACTGTACAGGCCAACAATATAATGTTTAAAAAAGAAGAAATACACAGTTATGTCAACATTATATCAATACAGAGAAGCACTGAGGGAGGAAAAACCTGAAAAGCGTGGCTGAAAATAGAGCAATATTTATCTTTATCTTGACGAAATTATGTCACACTATGATTTTCTGAGGATAGCTTGGATATTGTCAGTAGTTAATGAACACTGGTTTTTGGCAGGTTGTATTACAAAGAGAGTACAATTAGTCAAGTTTTATTTCATTGATAGTAGTGCAGTTTGTGAAATTTTGAACAAAAAATAACTTTTTTTTTGAGCACTAACAGGGACTTTGTCTGTCCAAACATATCAAAATGAACATGATGTGATCGGGTGCTGTGAAAATGTCGAAGTATCGTGATACGTATTTTTGCCATATCGCCCACATCTTAGTTGAAAATATGCAAGAGAATGCATGAGGAGGCTCAGCACCCTTTGCGTAACAGCACTGGCTACCTTCTCCAGCTTAAAATTCTGAGAGGTAACGTTAGGTCACTATCCACAAATTACATTTGCTGTTGTGCAGTGAACACTGCACATATCAGTAATGCTACTGCTGTTAAACCGTTTACTTTCAGAAGCACAGAACTCTGGAAACGGAGTCCAAACATGTAGAGGAGACATATTTATAAACTCATGACGAGTTTTAGTCACAGGCACTAAAACTTGTGTTCTCCAGCAAAGAGAACCCAAACAGCTCTCTCTAATGGGACCATGGATAAGGGCTCCAATATAGGGACTTTAGTGATGTAATCTGATAACCCTAAAAACTAGGGACAAACTATGATATCGGAATCATATCCGTATCACTAGACAACTGCAAAATACAAGCAAGTCTGTATCATTAATTTTATTCTGCATTTGAAACCTGTAGAAATAAATGTATTTTTTAATGCTAAACGGTTTCAATTTCCTACAATTTATAAATATTCTACATTTTTTCTAAATATTTTATGTATCGGCACAGACATGTATGTTAAAAATGTTGAATATCAGTTCAGGCCCATACTTTATTTATCGGTACATCCCTAAGATTTTTATTAATTTAAAATGCACAATGAATGAAGAAACAGTGAATACCTCTGAATGATAATACACACTACGTGTTAAACAAGTTAAACATTTCTACAGGATTCCAATAAGAATCCATGGTATTCCTATAGTTATTTTTATAAAAGAGAGCTAAATCCAGTTAAATCTAGCTGAGTTTTTTTTTGTGTGTAGTGTCAGTAATAAGTGTCATGTAAATAGTCTCATCTCGCGGTTTTCATCCACATCCACAAACAAAACTTTCAGAAGAAACTTAAGCTAACTAGGAGACAAAGGGGAACTCCACCGTTTTGAAGCGTGTTCTAAAGCAAAAAAGTCCCCAGAGACAGCTTACTCTTTTCAGAGGGACCATTATTTTAACCATCAACAACGACACCTGGAAAACGCAAAAGACACGTGTAGTTTCACTGGTGGTTTCGAACAGCACATAAAATGGCTATATTTGCGTCAGTAAGTTTCTCTACAATAAACCATTTCACACCAAATCACTCTGAATGACTCTAAACCATTGAAAAAAAATTACACAGAATTTGAAAAATCGGTGGAATTCCCCTTTAACGTTATACTACAGCTAGCATGAACTGCTTGTTTCAGTTAGCAGGTGTGCTTTTCCCCTCTATAATTTAAAGAATACGTTAAATAATCCCAAGGTTGGCTGCCTATTTGAGCACAAAAGGCAGTTAGAATACAGCTTCTGCTCGTTTCCGTTGTTTTGTCGGCACGTTTCTTCTCGCCATTTTAACCAGTGTTACCATGATTACCATGAGGTTAACTAGGCGTTTAAAAAAGCACCACAACACTACAAAAATAGTCAAAATCAATAAACTAACATGATGGACCGTGTCCAAGTAACGGAGACTTTGTAGAGAAAAACACGTGATGTACATATACTACAGCATGCGTGTTAGCAGTGAGCGATGTTTTGAAGATCTGCGATATCTCTACATCTCGCGTGCAGGCCGTCGCAGGAGTCAAGGCCTTCACTGAAGCTCTTTTCAACCAACAAAACAACATTTCTTCAGTCAAGCTAACTGCGGCTACATCGACTCAGCCCATAAGTCAGGCTCATTTGTGCTAAACTCACAACTAAGCTATCGAGACAACTGCGTAGACAGCTAAGCCACCACTGCAACTGAACTAGCGTTAGCTAAGTGGCTATTTAGCATCGCATGTTATTTTGTTTGACCCCAATCACAACGGCGTTTGTAGAGCGGCACTCAAGCAAAATAGCAGAGGATTTTGTTTTACTTCACTCACCAGGCATTATAACGATACTGTTTTCCTTAATAATTCCAACAAAGAATCCAGCGATAGAGGAAATTTGGCCTATTTGCAGCAACAATGTTACCTGGCCAGTTTTCAATACTACGTCAGTGCGTTCATCTGCGGGGGCCTTTCAAGCAAACATGTGAGCGCCCTCTACCGGTGATATTTACAATAGCGCTTAGGACAAACGTGGAAAGACACTATATGGCCAAAAGTATGTGGACAGCTGACTATCACACCAACATAAGCTTGTTGGACATCCTGTTCCACAACCATTGGCATTTATATGGAGTTGACTGTCTTTTTGCGGCTATAACAGCTTCCACTGCTCAGACAAGGCTTTCTGCAAGATTTTGTATTGCGTCTGTGGGAATTTGTGAGGTCAGACACTGATGTTGGATAAGAAGGCCTGGTTTGCAATGTATGTTCCAATTAATCTCAAAGGTGTTCACTAAGGTTGAGGTCAGGGGTCTATGCAGGCCACTGTAGTTTTGCCTAGTCATATTCCCCAAACACCACATTAGCTCTCGGCACCTACTAAACAAACAGCATGTTGGATATGTTATGAGATTTCAGTACCACCCCACACATAATCATTGCTGCTATTGCACATAAATATTGTAACTCACTCCTGTCCGCATACGCACAGTGCAACAAGAGAGAGTGAGACACTGCTGCCAGAGGAGCTGCTGACTGAGATTGACATTTACACAGTTACAGTGAGCAGCATGCATGGGAATAAATTACAGTAGTCCTATTTATATTTCTTGCTTTCCCACTCAGAAGATTTGTCACTCGTCACTTTTTAGTAATGAAAGTCGCTTGGTGAAAAGGGTTTCAGAAGTCATTAAGTGTAGTGGCTTAGACAGGGATGTGGCAGGGATACATTTACCACAAAACATTCAATGGTTGTCTGAGCCCATGCGATAAAAAAGAGACCTGTGGCTACAAAAAAAAAAGACCCGTAGCTATAGCCCAATAGCCAGACCCTAAAAACACCTCTGACACACCTCTGGGCTAGCTCAAGTTCTGGAGAGACAGGGATGGCTGCTATCAAAATATTTCATATGTCATATATTGATGGCTGAAAAAGTGATGCAGTTTAAAAAATGATGCACTATTTGCAGGTTGCATGGTAGATGAACATTCAAGTAGATTGTATACTTATACAAATCAGATACTACCTATCACCTGGTAGTACAATTCAAGTCCCGTAACCCCACCCCTGTTTTTAATCCCTGGGTTACCTCGTGTCTTGACATTTGTGGTGATGTTGTGGACTCAGCACTTGCTAGCTTCTGGTAGCACTTGTTCGTAGGTTGCAGCAGCCAGCCCCCTCTATTGGCCAAAACAAGCACAACGCAGCATGTCTGCCTGTCTGCTCTGCTACCAGGACTTTTCTTAGGAAAAGTGTGTTTTTAGTTCATAGATAAAAATGGGGACAATGTGGGGGACAGCTCCAGTCAAGGACAGGCCACCAAAAACTGGGACTGTGCTTGGAAAGGGGAACATTTGGTCACCCTTTGAGGCCAGGGGCGCAGTCTTACTGGAACAGGAAAGGGCCTTCCCCAAACTATTGCCACAAAGTTGAAAGCATATAATTGTCTAAAATGTCTTTGTATGCTGTAGCATTAACATTACGTTTCACTGGAAGTAAGAGGCCCAAACCCTGAAAAAGAGCCTCAGACCATTATCCCTCCTCCACCAAACTTTACCATTGGTAATATGCCTTCCAGTAGGTGTTCTCGTCCATCAGACTCCCAGATTGTAAAGTGTGATTGTTCACTCCAGAGAACACATTTCAGCTGCTCTGGAGTCCAGTGGCAGTGTACTTCACTCCAGCCATAGTTTTCACATGCTACACAGCGGTCCTGCTCTGTAAGTTTTCATAGTCTACTTATTTGTGGCTGAACTATTTTTGCTGCTGGATGTTTCCACTTCACAATAATAGCACTTACAGTTGACAAGGGCAGATCTAGCAGGGAAGAGATTTTACAAACTGACTTGTGGCACAAAGGTGGCATCCTATAACAGTGCTATGTTTAATGTCACTAAGCTCTTCAGTATGACCCATTCTACTGCCAGTATGTGTATAAGAAGACTGCATGGTTATGTGCTTGATTTTGTACACCTGTTAGCAATGAGTGTGGCTGTAACACCTAAACTCAATACTTAGGAGGGGTCACCACATACATTTGGCCATACAATGTACATGAGGAAATGGAGAATCAATGCAAATAATGTGAAAATAAAATTAGAAGCATACAGGAGTGTAAAGATTATTTATTTAACATTATACATTACATATATTAGTAGTATTATATGTTCATTATTAATAAAATGGTTTATTATTTTATTTATTCATTTTCACAATTATTTATTAATTTATTTTTGTTTTCATTTCCATATTCATTTCGTCTTTTCTCGTGGAGTTCTGTCAGTTAACCTGGTCTGGTCCACTAAATTATGTACAAAACACACATTTTGTACATACTAATGTCTGTGATGATGCTTACCATCATCACAAGGTCAAAAAACATGGTAGGCTTATTTTCTCACAAAGCAACACTCAATATAAAATGAGCTACATAACATGATGTTGTAAAATGCCTAGTTTCTAATAATATGAGGAAAAACAGGGGGAGAACCCTCTCTTCATGTCCAGCTTGTTTCATTCTAGGTTTGTAAATGGGCATGTAAAACTGCATCTGGGTATTTTTTGCCCCGACCTAAGTCACATACTGTGATGCAGACATCAGAGAACGCTTAAAAATACTGAATAAATGCATTCCATGGCACCTTTAAGCTACACAACAGTCAGGAAAAGGAGGAAACATTAGCCTATCTAGATCACTACTCCACTCTATTCGGGAGTTTGTATGGACCCATGGGGTCAAAAAAAGCTAATGTTGTCAATATATTGTTTGGCATCCCTCCAGAGTTGGTAAAGATACACTCAAATTTAATTTAATTCACTTTTTAAACATGACAAGTAAATGTTTTAGTCAGGCAGCATCTTAAACAAGCTTTAGAATCAGACATGACTGGATGTCTTGCTGCCTCAGAATACTGTCTGAGTAGGCAGCATTTATCATGATTCAAACACAGCCATTGATTCTCAAGCCCTACATGCTAAAGGGGGCCTTTTATTCCTTGTCTGGGGGGGCTTCTTCCCCAAATGTTTAACGTTTTGCATTTTCGCTTTAAAATATGATTTCCTTTTTCAAAAAAACAAGTGTGTTAAAGGGGAACTCCACCGATTTTGCAGAATTACTCATTCAATGGTTCAGATGTAAAGAAAATCATTCAGAGTGGTTTGGTGTAAATGCACCTTCCTAGAGAAATTTACAGAGTCAGAATTGTTCACCATTATAGTACTAGGAACCAGACGTATGAAGCATTTAATGGCTCTAAAAGTTGCATCCCGTAAGGTCATTATGCAAAATGGTTATGAATGCGTTGCTTGATAACTGAGACATTGTTTTGTGATAGTTTTGTTATAAAGTTTTGGCATAAAACGTAATTTTTAGTATAAACTTTTACCCCAGGATTACGAAACTGCATTCTCAACTAAGATCAATGCGTGCGAGCTAATGTGCTCTTGTTTTTACTAGCCTGTAGCTGCAGCTGTTCAACACGGCTAACGGCAGCAGCAGCTTTTGTTTACAGTTTATTTTAATGGTTTTCTAACCTATTTTGAAAGATGGCAGTGTATGCGGAGGACTTCGAGGAGGTCTGTTTCCAAAATGTCGTAGAGCCATATCGATTTGAACCAGAACACACAAATGAGTTGCAGCGGCTTGAAGAAGAGAGAGCTGAGAGAGAGAGAGAGAGAAAGACTGAGAGAGACTGAGATCAAACCCGTCGGCGCCGAAGCAGAACAACCCAGGGCGAATGGAAATTGGTGGCGTCAACAACAAATGACTTGTTACTTTGCTTACCAGTTTATGAGGTAGGATAGTGAGGCAGATTGTGGCCTACTTTAGACAGTCTGTTGTAAGCTAACGGCTAACACATATGCATGGTGGAAAATACGACAAAGGGAACAGCAGTTTTCTTTAGCAGCCTGCATTTGATGAAATCCGCTTTGCATTTTTTCACTGGTCTTGAGTAAGTTCGTCGGTGAACTTGTCCAACTTTTGGTCTTTGTGTGTAGCTTCAAAACAATTAGCCACAGCAGGATTTCTGGTAATTGTAACAACAACTGAAAAAAACACAGTACTGTATTTTCTCCATTTATTTTTGCATCCTGGTACAGCGCAGTTCACCACCATTCTGAGCAATTGACCAGCAAGGTGCAACTGTGATCTGTTGCAGCTCCTCTGATGAAAAAGTTACTCACATAAACTATGAGTTTTGCTGACACCATGCGACACAATGCTGCCAATCCAAACAACACAAAAGGCATGCAGGGCGGAGAGGTACATGCAGGACATTGTAAGGAAAAAATAGTTCTCAAAGAAAAAGTATTTTTTAAATTTAGCAGCATTTTACCAATATCAGCATGACATATAAAAACTTATAAGACACATGTAAGTTCATCGATCATTTTGAATAGCAGATTAAATGACGATATTCGTAGTGTAGACATAACAACGTCTGGTTCCTGGTACTACAATGGTTAAAAAATCTGACTGTGTAAATTTCTCTAGAAAGGCGCATTTCACACCAAACCACTCTGAATGATTTTATTTCTATCTAAACCTTTGAATGATTAAGTAATTTTGCAAAATTGGTGGAGTTCCCCTTTTTTCTGATCCCCTCATAAACATATGCATACTAAACATTTTCTTATATATGAATGCATTATAAACACATAGATCACTGACCACAACATTTTTTTTTCCAGAGTAATAAGTCTTAGTTAATGTGTTGAGCTTAGATCTGTCTGTATCATTTAATATGGAGAGAAATTAGGAGGGGAGGGGCATCTACCCATGTTGCCCTACTATTAAAAGCATGAACAGTATGAAGTATGGTCTACCTAAGTGCCGAAGTGTATATTTATTTACAACCCTTACAGAACAGAAGAGAGATAGACTTACACACATAGATGATAGACTGTGCAATCCCAGCCGTTATCACGATATATGTAGAAATGGACCAGGCTATAAGAAATTTCTCCCATTCTAAAATGTTTA